CGTGTAAAAACTTCGATACGCGCCTATTTCTTTCCTTGTTCTGTGGGCGCAGCTAAGCACGGTGCAGTGGATATTCCCACGTGATCCCCACCAAACTCCGGTGCAACGCGTACCCCCACCAAACTCTTCCCGTACCCCTGGGGGTACGCGTACCACACTTTGGGAAACACTGCACTAGAAGAATGAAATATTTTGAGAAATATTAAAAAGGCAGAATATTATATTTCCCTGGGTGAGAAATGGAGAAACATGCTCTTGGGAAAGCATCCCCTACCTTTCTTAATAGCCCTCAGCAGATGTCAGCACTTAAGAGATAAAGAGATAGCTAGCTCTATTCATAAGCAAATTCCTGCAGCAAGGTCTGAACAAAGGTAGGATTAGCCCTCAGCCACAATAGGAATTGCCCAACAAGTGTTGTGACCTAGGCTTACTCATTACAAGACACAATTAATCCCGAACAAACCTATTTTATTGTAACAGCTGAGAATTACGTTCATTCCCAGCTGAGTCCCATTTAGTAGCAAAACAAGTCCTTCGAAATAATCACCAACCTTTATCTTCTTTGACACCCTGCCAAAGGCCTTACTTGGCAAAGCCCCACAAAGTTCGGAAACAAACAGGAAACCAAGTTAGCAATGTTGCTTTCCTGCAAAAAGGCCCAAGTGCCTTGGTTTCTCTTTTAAGCCTTATGGTAAAGTGGATAATGTGAATAAAATAATAATGTGAATGGTATAAGATCAGCTATATGAACAGGACCCTCTTTATTCACATTATTATAAGACAGAAAAGTGCTTGTTTAGAAATTACACTAAAGTCAGCGAAATTCCATTCTTGGCAACATATCTTTTGGGAGGCCTATCTGTCAAAGATGCAAGGACCATGTATAATATATGTCTTCCAAGGAAGATATCTGTCAAGGATGCAGAGACATCCATCTGAAGCAAAAAGTTAATTATTAACAAAGGAAGCCATAAATCTATACATCAGCCGGATACCGAACTAAGGAGGATGTTTAGCTAAAAGTATCTCATGTACTATAAATTAATGTAGGAATTCATTAATTAAAAAGTGTCAATTATCATGTAACGGATGTATGTTAACCATATATGGAAAACTGCTGTGCCAGCAAAGTCCTTTGTCTTGGATATGTATAAAAGCAGTCATATCAGGGCTCTTTCCTTGTTCAGAATGGCAGATACAAATCTGGTTCTGAAACTGCGCAAATAAAACTGTCTCTGGCTGACCCAGGAATGTTGTTTGGTCCCATCATTCCATAACAATGGGAGGGGCCAATCATCTCCTGGCCTTACTCCCGAGTTGTCCCTTTTGCTTTAGCTGCTCTTGCCTTCTGGCAGCTCTGCACATGCATGCACTAGAAACAGGCTCCTCCTGTTCCTCTGCCTCTCTGCAGTCCGACTCTGGGGGCTACAGAGTCCACAGATCACTCCCAGATGTCCCTGGTCCCATCTCTCCCTCCAAAGCAGAGCCCTCATCCGGGCCTTCCCCAGACTCCAGGACTCTCCCATGTTTGTCCCCAGCCTCCTCACTGTCTTAACTCCACTGCCAGCTCCGCAGGCTGCTGGCGGACCACAACAACAAGCCCTTCATTGCATCAGCCAAACTTCAACCAAGCTTAGCTCAGACAAACTCCTAGGATTTGCACATGGCCCCCTTGAGTGGCTGACAACAGCCAGTAGAAAACATGTTCTTGCACAGGAACAGGAAGCTCAGGTGCATAGCCCAAGAGAAGGTATAGAATCACACATTCTTGGTGGTTCTGCTTCATCAAGAAATGGACCCTTTTTCCAATCAGCCTCGAGCCTCCATTTTGTCTCCAGTGCTTTTCTCCCAGCTTGGAACTGAACCAGAAGGATATTTCTTCCAACACATATATCCTTGGATGGGGAGGAGGTGTGGATTCCATCTTCTCCTCATCACTAACAGCCAGCAGCTGCTGACAGTCTTCGCCTGGATCCTCCTCATCACCTTGTTCATCTCAGCCTGTTGTTCGTCCGATCAATCCAGATGAAGCTGCTCCGTCAGACTAGCTCTCTCCGAGTCCCAATCGGGCCATCGCTGGACTCTTTACTTTCCTCTGATGACTAAAACTCATTCTTCTCCTCCAAACTCATGTTCGGAGAGAGATCCGGGCAGATTCATAACCCTGGAGCATTTTCCCGGATTGTCCTTCTCTTCTAGACAGAAATCGTGCTAGACCAAAGGAAATATTTGCATCTCTAAAGATGTAGAGAATATTTGTAGCTCGGGGTTGAGATCAGGGCTCCTTGGTGCTCTTGCAGACGTTTCATTACCATACTAGGTAACATCATTAATGCCAGAAGGAAATGTCACTTGCTCTCACTCCCTTCTAGCACTGATGGTATTACCTAGCTTGGTAGTGAAACGTCTGCAAGAAAACAATCCAGTTTAGTGAGCACCAAGGTCCCTAGACTAAAGAGATCTTTTGAGAGTTGCCAGGGAGGAGCTTTCTCAACTCTCTTCCTCCTAACCAAATGATCTAAGGTTCGTTATCTCTTGGCCCTCAGGAATGCAGCCCCTCCCTCCTGGGAATCCAGACCACATTCCACCACACTTTGGCTTTCCTTTCCTTTCCTTTCCTTTCCTTTCCTTTCCTTTCCTTTCCTTTCCTTTCTTTCCTTTTCTTCTTTCCTTTCCTCTCTTCACTCCCTTCACCTCCCCTCCCCTCCCCCCCCACTCCAATCCACTCCACTCTATTCATTTCCTCAGATGGACAGAGTAGCTCACCCAATGTAAGGGGGAAGAGAGGGAAATGCGGACCTTATGAGCCATTTCATATGTTCAGAACAGGCCGTTCTTGTGGAGAGCTTCCAAGACAGCCTAAAACCTTTGGATGCCTGCAGATTCCACCATTTCTCGCTCAATGGTGCTGCAAAAGTCCAAAGTGTTCACCCGTGGAAAGAACAGCCTCTTCCCTCTCTCTTGGGCTCCCTTCCACCTGATTTAAATCCTGCATATCAGCCAAGCCGTTTTGCAGGTGCAGGTCATGAAACCTTTGGCCTTTATTATTTATTTATTTATTCATTCATTCATTTATTTATTTATTTATTATATTTCTATACCGCCTTTCTCCCGTAGGACTCAAGGCGGTGTACAATCAAGAAAAATATAGATACACAAAACATCATAAAATTGCTAATTAAAATTATTATTAGAACATAGTTTGGCCCAATTAAATAGAACCTAAAATTAGATAACATTTTAAAAACATTCACATGTTCATATGTTTAGCCCCGTCTGTTGGAACATGAGGGTTTTGAGGGCACGGCGGAAAGCACGGAGATCAGGGATATTCCGTATCTCCGGGGGCAGTTCATTCCAAAGGGTTGGAGCCCCCCACAGAGAAGGCCCTCCCCCTGGGAGTCGCCAGTCGGCATAATTTGACTGACTGTACCCTGAGTAGTCCCTCCCTGTGAGAACGAACTGGTCGGTTTGAACCACAGGAAGTCCTCCACTTACAACCGTTCGTTTAGTGACAGTTCGAAATCTTAACGGCACTGGAAAAAGTGACTTGTGACCATTTTTCACACTTACAACATTTGCAGCATCCCCGCAGTCAGGTGATCAAAATTCAGACGCTTGGCAGTAAAACATATTTAACAACTGTCTCGCTTAGCAACAGAAACTTGGGGGTGGGGTCAATTCTGGGTCGTAAGTAGAGGACCACCCCTAGTTGGGGGGAAAAATGCTTCTAAATTCCTGGGGATTTATTTTATTTTTATTTTTTTTTGCTCCTCTCGCAGTGTTTACTATGATTGTGGTTTGTGGCAAATTCAGCTTTAGACTGGATCTGGGGTTTTTCTCTACCTATTGAATTCTTTCCAAAGATCTGGGATAGGCCGAGGTGGTTGTTCAGAGGTGTTGAAGGCTGTTGGGCAGCCGGAAAGCCATCAACTGGTTCTTGAGGACTCTGGGGACAGCAGAAGACTTTTCTGGAATATCGTCTAAGCTGAGAGCCTCAACAAATTTTAAAAGACCCTCCCCAAAATACAACAGGATTTTAGGAAGCCTGGAAGGAGCATTTCCCGTAATACCAGTTTAGAAATTGGCCCAATTCAGCTTCTCTGTTGCCAGCATGGCTGTTCTCTTCCTCTTCCCCTCAAATTCCAGATTAATTGCATCTCTTTTAGCGTTTTATTTATTTAAACAGCTCCAAGTCAAGCTGCCTTTGGCAATTGACCGATGGTGATTTATGTCAACACCGATGGCATTCATTTGATGCTCCAGATGTTGTGGGATTGCACCCAAGGCATCATTCATTCATTTATTTATTTATTGGATGGATGGATAGATGTAATAAAGCCAACCATCTCAATTTATATGTACAGGTAGTCCTTGATTTACAACCGTTCGTTAAAAGTGATTTAGGACCGTTTTTCACCCTTACGACTGTTGCAACCTCCTCATAGGACCACGATCAAAATTCAGATGCTTGGCAACTGACTCATACTTATGGCAGCTGCGGTGTCCCAGGATCACGTAATCCTCTTTTGCGACCTTCTGACAAGAGAACTCAATGGGGGAGCCAGATTCACTTACTAACGGAACAACTGAAGGTATTCACTTAACAACTGTGGCAGGAAAGGTTGTAAAATGCAGGAAAACTCACTTAACAACTGTCTTGCTCAGCAACAGAAATTTTGGACTCCATTGTGGTTGTAAGTCAAGGACTACCTGTGTACATATGTGAGCCAGGAGGAGGAGTGAGAGAGCAAACCTCAGTTTCCTTATAAATTCCAAAAAAAGGGAAACTGAATTTAGTTGCAACCACAATCGTCGTCTGAGGTAAGATGACGAGACATTTTGTGTTGTGTCAATTTTTCTACGGGACGTTTGCCTGTAAGCACAGTTTGACAATATTTGAGGTAGCAGGAAACCTTCTTGCAAATCTTTTCCGGCTTTGAGAAAAAATTATCTTGTAATAATAATTGCGCTTTCTTTTTCTTGCTTTCCTGCTCTAGAATTGTAACAAGAGGAAATTTCCGTTGTGTGAAGAATTTGCACAACTACAAACCACCTTGAATTTCTGGGAAAGTGAATCGATTTGATGACCTTTTCAAGGCAATGCAAAATCTGTGCCAGGTAATAAATGTAAAAATAATATTTCCGATGTAGAGCGAATGAGCAGATGTTTAGTATAATGTTTAAGTCTGGGGTACCATCCGCCGGTTGTAGCTAAATTGAGCAGGCATCTTCAGTGGAAGTTTATCTTGAAATCGTGGGAGTGACGGCAACACGCAGGGTTGTAGGAATAGAAGAAAATGTTTATAGTTCAGGGTTGAGCTGTGAGGTCCTTGGTGCTCTCTAAGCTGGGTGTTTTTTTGCAAACGTTTCATTACCTCATTAGATACTGAACGCAAATAGCAATCTAGATCCCAAACAAGAATTAACTCAGACAAACAGAGGAATCACCAAGAAAACTCCCAGAAACACTGGCATTAGATGGGTTGCCACAGAGAGGAGGGGGTCAAGCTATTTTCCAAGGCACCCAAAGGCCAGACAAGAAATAATGGATGGAAACTTATCAAGGAGAGATTCAACCTGGAAATAAGGAGAAATTTTCTAATAGTGAGAACAATCAACCGATGGAACAGAAGTTGCCTTCAGAAGTTGTGGGAGCTTCATCCCTGGAAGCTTTCAAGAAGAGACCCGACTGCCATCTGTCAGAAATGGTGTAGGGTCTCCTGCTTTGGGGGGGGTAGGGGTGGACTAGATGACCTACAAGGACCTTTCCAATTCTGTTAAAGTGACTATTAAAGAAACTGGACAGCCACCTGTCTGAGTTATACCGCCCCCTCTCCCGAAGGATTCGGGGCGGTGAACAGCCAAGATTAAAAAACATACAATATAAACATTAAAATACATTTAAAACAAAATTAAATCCAAAATGGCTCCCCAATTTAAAACGCCTTACCCATAACCCTATAATTAAAACAAATTTAAAATTTCCACATTAAAAGGGGGAAGATTTAGGCCAAACATCACTCCCTTCCAGCACTGATGATGTTAGTTAGGTAATAAAAGGTCTGCAAAAAAGGAAGCTCAAGACAGCACCAAGGACACCCCCCCCCCCCAGTCATCGTCATCCTTCTCTTCTCTGCAAACTCTACTCCCTTCTACCGCCGATGATGTTTCCCAGTTGGGTCATGAAATGTTTGCAAGAAAACAACCAAGCTCAGAGACCATCAAGAACCCTACAGTCCTCCTCCCCCTCCTCCCCTCCCCCTCCCCCTCCCCTCCCCTTCCCCTCCCCCCCTCCTCCTCTCCACACACCCCACTCCTTTCTAACATCAATATTACCTAGTTGGGTGATGGAACTTCTGCAAGGAAACAAGAAAGCTCGGAAATCACTAAGGATTCCACAGAAAGAGAAACCCAGATAAGCAGGGATTAACACCAGACAAACAATCAATTAGAAAACAATGCCCTAATCAAGGAACTACCAAGGGATGGGACCACACTGCCACCAACACTACCAGGGCAAGTAACTGCATATAAAAAGGGAGCAAACTCCACACGCCTTCATACTAATGATGTTAGCTTGTTGGGTAATGAAACGTCTTCCAGAAAGCAACCAAGTTTAAGGGGCACCAAGGACGCCACACTGTTGTCTCCATGTTCTGCTTGGGACTTCTGAAGAGCACGTAGCGTTTCCACACGGCTGTTCTCCACCCATTACGGAGTCAAGAAAAAACTAATTGGGTGTAAAATGTCTGAATTGCTGATCCGTGCTTTTGTTTCAAGTCATTGGAAACCGAATCACATGAACCGTTAGTACCGCTTTATAAATCCTTAGTACGGCCAAATATTGCATGCAGTTTTGGTCACCACGTTACATACAAAATGTTTAAACTTTGGAAGAGCAATTAAGATGATTAAAGGCTGACTTTACAATTGACTTGTAGTTGTGACGGTCGCTGTGTCCCCGGGGTCACATGACCCCCTTTTGCGACCTTCTGCCGAGCAAAGTCAACGGGGAAGCCAGATTCATTTAACAGTCGCGTTATTAATTTAACAACTGTAGCGATTCGCGGTAAAACTGTGGCAAGAATGGTCGTAAAGCGGGACAAAACTCACAATAACCGTCTTGCTTAGCCGTGGGAATTTCGGGCTCCATTGTGGTCGTGAGTCGAGGACTAGCGGTGTCTGGGAATCTCTGCTAACCTGTTTTCCTTCTCCCCGGTCTCTAGTGGGCGATGTGGAGCGTCTTGCTCTGGAGTAGCCTGACTCTGGAGTACTCTGCTTCCCTGCCCAAATTCGAATGGATAGACCCCCAGACCCACGAGAAGCTGTTGTGTCACAAGTGCCCTCCGGGGATGAGCATAGTCAAACCTTGTACCCGGGACGACTTCACCGAGTGCCTGACGTGTGATTACGGGAAGTACATCCCGTATTGGAACACCCTGGACAGGTGCATGTACTGCAACTTTCCCTGTGGCACCCTGGAGGTGGAGGTGGCGCCGTGCATGTTGACACAGAACAGGGTGTGTGAGTGCAAGCCGGGTTACCACGCCGAGAAGCTCCTTTGCATCAAGCACACCAAGTGCCCACCAGGAAGTGGAGTGGTTCAGCACGGTACGTACCGGGGAGGAAGACAGACAGCAACCTGTTCCTTGGGTGGGTGGGGGGCTTTGAGGGGGATAAACTGGAACAAGCTAACATCTCTTGGGAGTAGTTTGGCAGCAATAGATTGGGGGTGGGGCCAAATAAAAGGTAAGAATAACGCGGGGGTGGTGGGGGTGGGGCAGAACTGGTTCGGTGATGTCATATCGTCACCGCTACCGGCTCGGCCGAACTGGGCCAAACCGGGAGGAACCCACCACTGGTCCGTAGTAACAACAGCTCTTTAATGTACGGTGTGAATTCAGTGAAAGATATAGTAACACAGCTCCCTTTATATACCTTGCTGGGCTGGGAGCTGACCAATCACAATTGACCCATTGTCTTTTAAACTTCCCGCCAAAACTATATACATAACATCAACCTTCCTCCTCTCCTCTCCACTCCACTCCTCTCCACTCCTCTTTCCTCTCTTCCTTCCGTTTTCTCTCCTCTCCTTTCCATTCCATTCCACTCCACTCTTCTCCTCTCCACTCTCCTCTCCTCTCTTCTCCTCTCCTCTGCTCTCCACTCCACTCCTCTTTCCTCTCCCCTCCTACTTCCATTTTCTCTCCTCTCCTCTCCTCCTTCCCTTTGCTCTTCTCTTCTCTCCTCCCCTCCCCTCCCCTCTCCACTCCATTCATCTCCTTTCCTTTCCTCTCCTCTCCTTACTCCTCTCCTCTTTCCTCTCCTCTCCTCCTTCCCTTTCCTCTACTCTCCACTCCTTTCCTCTCCTCTCCTCTTTCCCTTTTCTTTCCTCTCACCTCCTCTCTTCCTTCCCTTTTGTCTCCTCTGCTCTCCTCTCCACTCCTCTCCACTCCTCTCCTTTCCTTTCCTCTCCTCTTTCCCTTTTCTCTCCTCTCCACTCCTTTCCTCTCCTCCTCTTTCCCTTTTCTCGCCTCTCATCTCCTCTCCTCCTTCCCTTTTCTCTCCTCTCCTCTCCACTCCTTTCCTCTTTCCTCCCCTCCTCCTCCCCTTTTCTCTCCTCTCCTCTCCACTCCTTTCCTCTTTCCTCCCCTCCTCCTTCCCTTTTCTCTCCTGTCCACTTCTCTTTCCTCTCCTCTCCTCCTTCCCTTTTCTCTCCTCTCCCCTCCTCTCTTCCTTCCCTTTTGTCTCCTCTGCTCTCCTCTGCTCTCCTCTCCTCTCCTCTCCTCTCCTCTCCTTTCCTTTCCTTTCCTCTCCACTGCACTCCTTTCCTCTCCTCTCCTCTTTCCCTTTTCTCTCCTCTCACCTCCTCTCTTCCTTCCCTTTTGTCTCCTCTCCACTCCTCTCCTTTCCTTTCCTCTCCACTGCACTCCTTTCCTCTCCTCTTTCCCTTTTCTCTCCTCTCCACTCCTTTCCTCTTTCCTCCCATCCTCCTTCCCTTTTCTCGCCTCTCCACTCCTCTCCTCTCCACTCCTTTCCTCTTTCCTCCCCTCCTCTTTCACTTTTCTCTCCTCTCCACTTCTCTTTCCTCTCCTCTCCTTCTTCCCTTTTCTCTCCTCTCCCCTCCTCTCTTCCTTCCCTTTTGTCTCCTCTGCTCTGCTCTGCTCTGCTCTCCTCTCCTCTCCTTTCCTTTCCTTTCCTCTCCACTGCACTCCTTTCCTCTCCTCTCCTCTTTCCCTTTTCTCTCCTCTGCTCTCCTCTCCTCTCCACTCATCTTTCCTCTCCCCTCCCCTCCCCTCCTCATCCCTTCCCTTCTTCTCCCTTCCCTTCCTTCCACTTCTCCCCGCTTTTTAAGGTTTTATTTTACTATGTTGACATGCATTGATAAAGTACTCCTGCAAGACAGCAGCCATGGAACGTGGTTGGAGAGAAAGCTAGACCTTCTCTTCTGCTCCCATTTTTCCAGGCAACCCCCGAGAAGATACCCAGTGCAGTGTCTGCCCAGAGGGGAGCTTTTCCAGCAAGCATTCCATTGAAGAGACCTGCCAGACCCACAGGAATTGCGACGCGGAAGACCTTCGGGTCAACGTGCCTGGCACCATTTTCCACGATGCCTATTGCACCGCCTGCAGAACTAAAAAAGACCTGGAGGTGGGCTTAGGTAAGACCCCCTCCCGCCCCCCAACTGAGACCCTCAACTTAGAATCCCAACTGGGAGCAGAGTTTCCATTGCTAAGCAGGCAGTTCTTAAGTGAGACATGCCCCATGCTACAACCCTTTTTGCAATGGTGGTTAAGCCCATCATTGCAGTTGTTAAGTGAATCACATGGTTATTAAGTGAATCTGCTTAATGATTGCCATCGACTTTGCTTGTCCGAAGCTGGGAAGGCCTCAGATGGAAGGCGAAAAGGATAGGGGTGGATCTCCCCTCCTGTTGTGATTCTAGGCTTACTGAGTCATTTCAAGACTCATTTCAGGAGCCTTGGTAGTACAGTGGTCTAAAGCACCCTGTTATTAAGAACAGCTGCCTGCAATTACTGCAGGTTCGAATCTCGCCAAGGCTCAAGGTTGACTCAGCCTTCCATCCTTTCTAAGGTAGGTAAATTGAGGACCCAGTTTGTGGGGGCAATAAGCTGACTTTGTATAAATATACAAAAGGATGAAGGCTATAGCTTAACGCATTGTAAGTCACCCTGAGTCTCCGGAGAAGGGCGGCATATAAATCAAATTAAAAAAAAAAAAAAGATACAATTAGTCCCAAGCAAACCTATTTTATTGTAACAGCTGAGAATTACGTTCATTCCCAGCTGAGTCCCAATTAGTAGCAAAACACGTCCTTCAGAATAATCACCAACCTTCTTTGACACCCTGCCAAAGGCCTTACTTGGCAAAGCCCCACAAAGTTCAGAAACAAACAAGAGATTCCAACTGGAAACAGAGTTAGCAACGTTGCTTTCCTGCAAAAGGCTCCAAGTTCCTTTGTTTCTCTTTTAAGCCTTATGGGAGGGGCCAATCATCTCCTGGCCTTACTCCCGAGTCGTCCCTTTTGCTTTAGCTGCTCTTGCTTTCTGGCCGCTCTGCACATGCGTGCTCTAGGAACAGGCTCCTCCTGTTCCTCTGTCTCTTTGCTGTCCGACTCTGGGGGCTCCGAAGTCTGCACATCACTCCCAGATGGCCCTCGCCCCATCTCTGCCTCCGACGCAGAGCCCTCGTCCGGGCCTTCCCCTGACTCCAGGACTGGCCCATGTTCCTCCCCAGCCTCCTCACTGTCCGACTCCGCTGCCAGCTCTGCAAGCTGCTAGCGGAGCACAACACCTCCAGTGGCAAGATGTTCCAGAGGTCAGGGGCCATGGCAGAAAAGATTCTTCTCCTAGGCCCTACTAGCTGAAATTCCTTGGCTGATCAAGTCCAGAGCATGGTGATGTGATAGCAGTCTTCCAATATTTGAAAGGCTGCTGCAAAGAAGAGGGAGTCAAGCTATTCTCAAACGCACCTGACAAGAAGCAACGGATGGAAACTAAGCAAGGAGAGAAGCAACTTAGAACTAAGGAGAAATTTCCTGACAGGGAGAACAATTAACCCTTGGAATGACTTGCCACCAGAAGTTGTGGGTGCTCCAACACTGAAGACTTTTAAGAAGAGACGGGACAGCCATTTTGTCTGGAGTGATATAGGCTCTCCTGACTTCAGTAGGGGGTTAGACTAGATGGCCTCCAAGGTGCCTTCCAGTCCTGTGACTCTATGTTCTATGCCCCTTCTGTGAATGGGGCAGGCCAGTTCCAGTCTAGAACTCACAGTCTCCTGGTGATTGGCCCAAAATCACCTAATCAGCTTTCATGCCTAATGCGGGAGTAGAACTCACTGTCTCCTGGTGATTGGCCCAAAGTCTCCCAGCTGGCTTTCATGCCTAAGGCGGGACTAGAACTCACCATCTCCTGGTGATTGGCCCAGTCACAAGCGAGCTTTCATGCCTAAGGCAGGACTAGAACTCACCATCTCCTGGTGATTGGCCCAAAGTCTCCCAGCCAGCTTTCATGCCTAAGGCGGGACTAGAACTCATCGTCTCCTGGTGATTGGCCCAAAGTCAAGTAACCGGCTTTCATGCCTAAGGTGGGACTAGAACTCACTGTCTCCTGGTAATTGACCCAAGGTCACGCAGTCAGCTTTCATACCTAAGGCAGAGCTAGAACTCACCGTCTCCTGCTTTCTTAAGTGGTGCCTTAACTATTAGACCAAACTGGCTCTCCCAGCATCTCTTATTCGATGTGTGTTTCTCACCTGTTCTTTCTCTTCTAGGTACAGGAGTCTGTCTCGAGGCAGCCCTTGATTTTGTACCCTTCCAGCTGAAGTCCCCACGAAGGCTCCAGCAACTGCATAGTCAGCTCACTCAAATTGCTCCTGGGACGGAGAAGAAGAAGCCCATCGAAGAGCTCCAGGTGGACCTTCATAACCACCTGTTTCTGCTCAAGAGACTGCATGGGAGGCAGCAAGCATGGAATATGGTCCAGGTAGCCCTGACGAAGCTGAAGTTGGAACGCATTCTGCAGAACGTCCTGAGCAGGTTCTCTGTGGTTTGATGAGGCCACTCGATACGGGGGTTTATTGTATCGTAGGTATAAAATGGTTGGACTTTGATCGTCGAGTTAAAGTATTTATAAAAAAGCTAGCTGTTCAAAAGAAAAATCAGTCTCCCTGTCAACTTGCAAAGCTTTCAAGTTGCCATGAGCAGGAGGGAGGGAGAATTGAAGTGAATTCCATACATTCTTCCTGACCGCAATCAGAAGGAGGGTGTTAGGTTTCACAGCCAGCCAAAGTGGTTAATTGGAGAATGTGATTTATGACAT